GCTGGTGTTCCCCTCGGCCTCTGATTGGTTTGTATTATGAATATATTAAAAGCAGGAAGAAAAAAAATAGATTTTTCTTGTTTTTACTTGTTTAAATTAGTGCAGACGATTTGATGTACTGTTCTTAGTTACCGACTGGATGCTAGAGTTTCCACAGGTGTGTCTGTGTGACGGACTGACGAAAAGTCACCGTAAGGGAAAGGTGGCGCTATCCTGGGGTCATAAATAGTATGTGGACTATATTATAGGTTGTGTTGTATGAAAGGAGAGAAGGTTAGCACTCCCCTTGACAAGGATGGAAGAGGCCCTTGGGCCTTACAACACGCATACGGTTAAGGCATTGCCACCTACTTTGTGGCATCTAACCATGGTTTTTTTTTTTTTCTTGTCCGTTTTTTTAATCGCGGTCTCAAAAAGCAGTGCTGTGGCCATCGAGAAATGAGCGGGGAGGGAAGCAGCGAACCTTGCCTCCACTGGCCTGTAGCCAACTGTCCGCAAATACGGAAGCAGGGATAGCAATGTGTCGTGTTGGAGCCTTAACTCCAGGGGACTGGGCTGGGCTGTGAAGATAAACTGAGGCTGGTGAGCTCATCAGCCCCATATCGTCATGAGGCCAGCGCGGTCGCTGGGAGAGTGCACCCAGGCGTGAGTGCGCCCGAGCCCAGAGCCCCCTGATGCTCAGACGGACTGCGTGGATGCCGGTGCTGGCACCTCATGTGGAATCTCGGGACAGCTCCTTTTCTGAGCTGCGGGCCCTCCCTGCCTCTTTGCCATCCCCATGCTTATGCGTGGAAGGCCTTACCTGCCCCATCTGGCCTCCTCCTGCACTCCACCCTCCTGATGGAGTGGGACAAACTGCAAGACCTTGAACAGGGTACAGTGCTGGCTGCCCAGTCCTGCAGCCCTCCAGGCCTTCTCTGCCCTTTGCTGTCTTTGAGCTAGTTTACAACTTTGTGAATTGTGAAAACACTTGTCACAGAAGTGCAAAACTTGTGTCCAGTGGGATGCCATCATTACTGCCCTGTGCATTTTTACGTCTTTGCATCTGTCTGCAAATTCCTCTTAAGCTTCCCTGTTTGCTTAAGTGTGGACCCTGAATTCTTTGAGCTGGTTGTCACATCTCACAGGGTGTTGCATCCAATCAATTCCTCAGCAAACATCCATTCTATACTTGTAGGAAAGGCACTTTGCCTTCTTTTTAAAAGGACTCTTGTATTGTGTTTCTGCCTGTTTGTTCTATCTTGTCCCTGTCCTGACAGGCTGCTTTTGAGAGCTTAGTGCCTCCTCTCAGGGGCCTGGGGCTCAGAGTGGACCTGCCATCCTTCCTCTGGACAGCAGTGCCTGCTTTGCCTCCCTCCTGAATTGTTTTTCTCTGTGGCATCTCAGCTGAATGAGCCCTTCCTGTTCCTCAGAACCCACCCTGATCATTAAGGCTACCCTGTGAGGGACTATGACCCCATAAGTGGCCAGACCACACCACACCCATCACCCTTATCCCTGTGGGCTGCTTTTCCCACTGACTAAAGCAGAACATGCAGAATGCAACAGCCATTCTTGTAGACAGACATCCCCAAAGGGGTGAAACCAGGAGGGGGCAAAAGGTGCCTTCTGTAAGTGCTTTCTTGGGACTTCTGTGAGGGCATAAGAGCTTTTAAATATGCTTTTAAAATATGGGCTCACTTGAGCACTTGGCAAGAGGCTTACCAGATTAAATCAAACCCACCTGATTGACAATGCCACAGTTTAGAAATGCACAGCAGCACCTGTGAGTGTGAGGACTGGAGCTCAGCCTGACATGCCTCCAGTTCACAGGGGACATGGGACAAAGGCAGGGGAAGAGGTTGAAAAACCACAATCAGCAGAATCTGGAGCAGGCTATGTCTACAGGACAAATGGCTTCCAACTGATAAATGGTGAGGGAAAATAGGGAGAACCTAGAGCCAATCCCCTCAAGACCAAATTGCTTTCTGCTTTGAATTTTTTGTTGAAACCATGTGTTTTCAGTAGTAGAAGACATTTTGAATGAAATGGAAAAAAAGTTGAGGTAATAGGATTTTGGTATTAGTGGGACACCTTGGGGGCATATGGTGGTGGAGTTGGTGGGAGGAGGTCTATTTCTTCAGTCACACCATTAGGTAGCTCCCATCCCCACCCCCACACCTCCCATCAGATGGCAGCACATACTAAGAGCAGGATAGCAGCATCCTACTAAACCCCAAAGGTAGAAAATGTAGCTGGGCAGTGTATGTACCAGTCACAAGAGTTAAAGCAGACTTGAGATTAGTTAGCCAAATACATGGTGGACCTATTTGTCTCCCAAACTAGCCAGCTACGTGTGTAGCTACATACACATCTTTGTGCATGTGTATCCATGCACATGCACACACAGGTACATATATGAAGATACTAATAAGACAATTGGAAAATACTTGACCATTGACTGGATATTTGATGAAAAGTGATTGTTCTAGTATGAAAACAGCATGTGGTTATGCTTCTGGAGAATGATCTTTGAGAACAACTAGAATATTCTCTGGTCTTGTGATCATTGTTTGAGATCTATACTAAACCCTTCAAGAGGGTAGATGGAACAGATGTGAACATCTGGGAAGCTGAGCGATTGGGTCACAGGGCAGCACCATGGCATACCCTCTTTTATGGATATCTGAATTTTTCTATAACGAAAAGTTGACTTTTCCTCATGAATACAAGGTGATGTTTGAGCCACACTGCAAGATCTTCCCCCAGATGTTAACACAGTAGGATTTACTATCTTCGCCTGCTCGTTTTACTTTGTCAGCCATCTAGAACCTTCATAAGAATCACACAACATTCATAAAGAAAGAGCTATTTTAAAAAACAGTAACTTTAAGTTGGAGCACCCGGTGGGCTCATAAGGCAAAGGGGAGCTGTGCCAGGCCCCACCCCAGGAACTAGCTGATGCTGAAGAAAGTCACAGGATAAAGTTACAAGACATGAAAATCTTTATTTTCAAAAAGAATGCATTTTTACATAAATCTACAACAGAGAATTCAAAACATAGAAAAAATAAACTCTATCCAGGCACCGGTGCTCAGCCCAGCGAGCTCCTTGCTCCCCAAGGGCTCCGACACCAGGACAGTGGGGACTGAAGGAGCCTCAACAGCTTGTGGTAAGCCCAGGAGGAAAGCAGCTGAAACCCAGAGACAGGAATCTCAGCGTCTTCTAGCAAACAGGCTGCAAACACGGGGATCCTAGACCCCAAGTTTTCAAAACAAAAACCCATTTTACTGCACCGTTTCTAAGAGATCATCCATTTGCACTCTACTGCAGGGTGCAGGGGGGGAATTGTTAGAAGCTTATATCCACACGCCTTCTAAACCCCTGCATGACAGCCACCATCAGACCACGAAGTCTGCTGAGGAGCCAGTCACCCCAGCACCAGACAGGCCCCAATTTGCTAGTAACTTGCTATCCACTGGACCCCAAAACCTTAGGCCCTTAGGGCTTTATCTGATTATACAGCACTGTCTACAGCCCCACCCTATGGGCCCCAGGCCAGAGGTCCCTGGGTAACTGCACCATGGTCATTGGCAAACCTAGAGGTCAGCAGGGAGTCCCCAAGCCACACCCATCAACCCAGCAGCTCTGCTGATCTGATGGTCAGCAGACCCAGTCAGGTGAGCAGCCCTCTGCCACCCTTCTCCTGCCCAGTCACACTGGATGGCAACCCTGACCTGCAAAATCTTTTGTGGAACCCTAGGGGGCTGAGCCCCAACCTCAACTCACTCCATGTAAGTTTTCCTAACACTCAAACCCTGCCCTGTACTCACAGCACCTCCACCTTGCAAAGACCTAACCACCAAGACCACAGCCAAGCACTGACATGGCTCTGGGAGCCAGGGCTGTGAGGGTGGCCCTAGGCATACATACTGTCTGCAGCCCTGGCTCAAGTCCTGGCCACACACCCCCACCCACACATCCCACTGCACACAAGCTGGAATCCTCCATAAATTACAAGTCTTGGCCGAGACGAGCATCTTCATCCCATCAACAGGAATATTTCAGAAGGTGCAACCCCCAGTCACATCCTGTGTGGGACTGCCAGTCCACCCTGAGACTGCCCACACCACTGGACTCCAGGGGTCTATTCTGCTAGGATCTGGACCAAGTCAGGGCAGAGGGTGCACCTTCATGGGGCTTGTGTCTTTTGGGGGGAAAATCCTCTTAGCTTCCTGCCAATTGTGAGACTTTGTCTCCAACTGGAGACAAGCTTCTGTGGGCGCTTGGCCAACACAGCACACACAAGGCCATCTCCTGCCACAGCGTGTGGTGCAGCAAGCTGCATGAGCACCAGGGAGACACAGGGACAGTGGGGTGTAAACACTATGAGCAACATGGACCGCCAACTTCCAGAACACAAAACCTTTTTTACACGAAAATAACTTTACAATGTTCTGTTTTCCAGAAAGACATCAAAATACATTGAGAACCACTACAAGCAAGAATCAATGAACAGTGAAGAGCAAGGGGTCCGTGTAGTCACAGCGTCTACTGGACAGACAGTGGGCTGGCTCTGTGGAGGGTCAGGGGGGCAGGGATGAGGGAAATGGGGCAGGGAGCCACCAAGCCCACAGTGGTGCCTGTCACAGCATTTGCACTTGGTAGGAAGTTATCAAAAAGGTACAGAACATTGACTGGAAAAAACAACTTGAGAAACTGAACTTCACCCTTTTGTAATAAAAAATTAAAAACTCTTGTTGACTCTGTTGAAACACAGTGTGACTAGGAACTCTTCGCCAGACAGTGTTAGAAGACTTGGCAAGAAGTGTTACCGGCAGCTTTGAGAACTTTCCGGTGGTGTGCACATATCTCCTCAGCCAAGCAATCCTCAGTGAGGAGGCTCGGACCTGGCCCCTTCCCAGACCCCAACGCCAAGCCCAGGAGCCACTTCTGGAAATCCCCGTTTCTTGCCAATCCGGGTCAACTTCTTGATAGTCTCTCACGTGTATCAAAAGGGTTTAGCAGTCACTCTTCCACAGTTTAATCGTTTTGTCATTTTCTAACGCAGCTGACGCAATGATGTTTTCTGTTGGGTGACATGCTGTTGAGATCACAACATCTGGAAATAAAGAGACAGTCAGGAATAGTCCCTCCTCCACGGTATAGCTCCACCTCTCCCTACTGGGTGGCCCAAAGGGACAAGGCCTTGCCCTGACCGACTCTCCTAGCCTTTCATCACATGTCTGACATCAGATTACCCAATAAGCAAGGAAAGCATAGGCTTACTAGTGCTTACTCATTAATCTGTAGTGAACAGTTTCACAAGTTTTTCACCTGTAAAAAACATGAAACTGATTACTACAGATTAGTAAATAAGCACAAAAGTCCATGCTTACCTTGTTATAGATCCAATTTTATCTCCCAAAAAATGTGTGTCATCTTGGCTAGACCATGATTCTCAGTAGTATGTAATTATCCTCCACTTTGTGATCTGATGTAATGATCCTATGTGTTGGTAATCCTATCCTCTATGTTAATGAGGCAGAATTAGAGGCAGTTATGTTAATGAGGAAGGATACAATCTACAAGAGTAAGTTGTATCCTGAGTCAATCTATTTTGAGATATAAAAATAGACTAACAATCGAACAGAAAAGGAAGAACCTACTACCACCAAGAAAGAAGAATCGGGCATGAAGTACATCCTTTGGACCTGTTGTCACTACACTGAGAACCTCCTAGACCCAGGGGAAGATTAATAACAATATACATGGAAATCTCCAAGGAACATCTGGACCACAGATACTGAAAGAAGATAAGGACCTTCCCCCAGAGCTGACAGAGAAAGAAAGCTGTCCGTCCCCTACAGCTGGAGCCTGGAATTTGGACTTTTAGCCTCCTCCACTGCAAAAGAATAAATTTCTGTTTATAAAAGCCATCCAGTTGTAGTATTTCTGTTACAGAAGCACTAGGTTACTAACTAGGTCACTAAGTGGAGCTTTGGTAGCATACTGCCTAAGGCACTTGACTGCTTACCAGAAGGCTAGCGGTTCAAACCCACCAGCCACTCCTCAGAAGGAAGGTTGAGCAATCCACTTCCGTAGTGATACTGCCTCAGAAACCCAAGGAGGGGTCACTATGAGTCGGGTCCGACTCACCAGCACGTAACAACAACAGGTCACTAAGACATCTTGCTTATTGGGCAATTTCCCCTTGGTCTGACAGATGAAGCCATAGAGGACAGTGGGTCAGCCTGATAGCAGACAGCTTACTTGAGCAGCCAGGTCAGCCGTATTCTGGTGGGAAGCAGCTCCAGAGCTCAGCATGCCGGCACCTTTTCACAAGGTGAGGAGCAATAGCACCTGCTTCCGGCCCCCCAACATGCACTGCAGAGGAGCCCCAGATGTCTCGCCCAGCACTGAGCTGTAGAAGTGGCAAGCGTGGGGTGGGAGTGGTCCTGTCCATAAGCACGCCTATGGGTCACCCCTGGTTTCACTGAAGTTTCTAGTTCTTTGTCAGTGATCCACCCTCCTCCACAGATCCCAGGATGTCCACCCCCACCAGCCCCCAGCAAACTCTGGGGGCTGCCTCTGGCCCCATGAGGACAACTCCGCCTTCGTGTGAGGCCTCCAAGTAAGCAAGCAAGTGTATATCCAGGGTAAGCTCATGTGACATGGCTACAGCTCCACCTGTCCCTTGCATGCCTACCAAGCCCTTGGGGACAGGGAACAGGGTGGGGCAGGTGTGGCTTCCAGCAGTGGGAAGCAGTGTGGGGGGACAGACAAGGGAAATATGGACAAAGTGAGTGCAAACCCCAGGAGCCACATTCCCGGTGGGTAGGGAGTTGCCTTTTACTTTTTCAGGAGAGTCTTAACACTTTCTAGGACTTTCATCAAATTCTCAAAGGGGACTGAAACCACTGCTGTCTACTAAGAAGCAGGACAATAGGGCAGTGGGCATGGGGGGCATGGGGCAGAGCAGACGCAGAAGACAAGGGAGACAAGGGAATCCTGGCTGTTCAGGAACCTCCCAAGGTACAACTTGGCAGGAGCACCAGCTGGACCTCCAGAACCAGGCAGCAGATCCCCCCACTACTCCAGGACAAGGGGACTGGGCAGAGGAGGCAGAACAAGAGGCTGCACCCACATCAGGGATCCCAGAGCCACAGAGCACCGGGTGCCAGGTAGATGGGAATAAAAGGGTCTTAAGGGTGGGTACTGTGGGACTGCATTCAGCTTTATGACATTAGACATAATGACATTATGACTTTGCTGTAGCCTCCAAAGTGGAGTCCTGTTCTCTCCAGCACTGGAGCATGGAGGAAAGGGGTGGAGGCAGGGGCACCCAATGGAAGCACTTGTCCATTCTGTTTTTTCCAGAACTGCTGCCTATGTAAATGGAATGAGCCTACGTAGCATGCTGCTACTCACCTGTGTGGCCTTGTAACTTCTGTACAATCTCTTTTGTCTGAAGGTTCCAGATGTAAACCAGGTTATCTTCAGAACCAGACACGATCCACTGGTTAACAAGGAGAAAAGAGGAGATGAGGCACTGGCCCGCTCAGGGCACTTTGTATGGCAAAGACACAATCAGTTTACAACCTTCCTCCCCCATGCACACCTCCTTCAGGAAGCTGCTTTGCTTGGTATAGTGTGCACACTATGCCCAGAAAACACAGGTTTGTTTCATGTGCAAGGAGAAGCATCTCTCAGAAGGTAAGCTCACCTGCAACAGAGGGGTGACCTCAGGAGGGAACACAGGGGAAGCTGAGAAACTTCTTAGGGAGGAAACTTACCTTTCCACCAGTGACAGAGAAGTTTGCAAATATGCAGTACTTCTCATTCTTGTGGCCCGTGTACGTCTTCAGGCACTGCAAGGCAAGGTGGCAACTCTGTTCAGAGACACGATCCCCTGGCCTTGGGTAATTACCCAGGTACTAAGCACAGAATTTTAGTGCTAATGAAACTCAGTTCTAAAAAGTGCTCTAAATGTTCACGAGTACAAACACACATGCTTCAGAGCTTCATCCTGTAGACTAACCAAGCTGCAAAAAGCCACATTCTTTAAGACATTTGCACCAAACCAGCTCCAGGAAGGTTGCTCCCACCTCTCTAAGGGCTCTTGCTACTTAGCCCCTGGCCCAGCCCTGCTGTCAGCAAAAGCCCCGACCCAGGCCCTACACCAATAGACAGGAGCCACTGTGGCTGCAGCTGCATCCTCTCCCCAGCACTCACCTTCCCTTTGCTGTAGTCCCAGAGTTTCAGCGTGCTGGAGGACAGAGAGAGAGAGAGAGAGTCACCTACACATTTCCAAGAGTCTCTCTAGAGGTGCCTTTTCTGTCCCTGAGCCCAAACTCCAATGCTGCCCAGCACAGCCTACAGGCTTCAGGAGGAGAGCCATGGGACATCGACCCCCAAAGGGGAGCACACAGCAGACATCACGAACACCAAGTTCACAAAGTCCAGGAAATTGATAGAGCTTAAGAGCAAAGGGGAACAAAGATAAACCCTTTTACATGTACAATACTGCACTGGTAGTGATAACAAACATCAGTCTATGGGTAGACAGGCTGAATGATCAGGCACATCTGGGCAAAAGGGGACAGACCCATGACCATATATAAGGTTAGCACACGATATTTCTACTTATGCATTTGTATGTGCTGTAAGAATACCCAAATATATGATAGAGCTAACAATGCAAAGTTATAATTTATTGGCCACAGCCACCCACCCTGAGAGAACAAGTAGTTGGACCCGTGGGCTTGGGACCATGGTCTCAAGGGACATCAAGCTCAGTTGGCATAACATACTACACAAAACCACTGATCTATAGCCTACTTTGGTGAGTAATGCCTGGGGTCTTAAAAGCTTTCAAGCGGCCACCTAGACGCACCAATGGGTTTCTCCTCATCCAGGACAAGAAGGAATGAAGAAAACCAAAGATGCTTGGAAACAATTAGCCCAAGAGACTAGTAGACCATGTGATGATCCTCAGCCTATATGACCATGAGACCACAAAAACTAGATGGTGCCTAGCTATCTAGTGGTCAACCACTGAGAAAGGGATTAGTACAGGAGATTCTGGATAGAGTGGAAGAACAATGTGCAACAAAACTCAAAAATCATAAAAAAGACCAGGCTTACTGATCTGATAGAACCTGGTGAGACCCCGAGACTATGGTCTCTAGTTATCTTTCAAGTCTGGAACTGAACTCACTCCTGTGGCTTCCAGCCAAACAATAAACAGGCAAATAGAGTGAACATTTACATCAGGTAGACATACTCCTTGGAGCGATCAATCATGGGACAATAGAAGGGCAGTGTCTGCACAGGGAGATAGTTCAGGGGGCAGAAATGCACAGGCAAGAAGGACGTGGGGCAAAGGTAACTGGGGAGGAAGTAGGAAGAGAGCTGTCACATTGTGGGGAATTGTAGTCAATGTCATGAGACAAAATGTATATGAACATTTTGTGTATGGAAAATTAATTTGCTCTGTAAACTTGCACCCAAATCACAATAAAAATTAAAAAAAAAAAAAAAAGCAAACAGGAAAATGCCAAGTATTTGTGGTTCAAAGCAGGGTTTCATACTGATTCAAAACAGTTCCTTAACTACCACTGTACACATCCTGGCATAACAATGCTCTCTAACACTCTTGCCAGTCCTTCCTCCTGGAAGACTCAGGAGGCTGAGGCTGGAAAATGGATTACTGGTAGGCCTCTGGAGAGCAACACATTCAAAGCAGTACAGTCAGCTGTCATCTCTAAGTTTGTTTCCTACTTGGGTTAGAATACCACCAGCAACAGATTTGGTTGCTATGTAGTGCATGAGTGGCCCCCGTTTACCACAGCAGTTACTGAACTGTTTGAACCAGTTCAAAGCCCTGGTTCAAAGATAGCCTTTATAAAGAAACTGCTGGGTGTTGTTTCCCTACATCAGAGGAGGCTGACCTCATCCCCACTACAAAGGGATACGAGGAGCTCCAGGCCCATCCAGAATGGCTTTCACTGCCAATATTCACGCTCATGTTCAGGGCAGCTCACTCCCACACTGGCACTGACCAGGCCAGCTCTAGGCAGCTGCAGGCTGGCTGCTGGGCAAAGGCAGCTGGGTCTGTGTGCAAGGAAGAAGGATTTAAATGACTGCCCAGAGGGACTTAAGTTTAAATGGTTGTGAACTGCTCCTTCACAATGCTGTATAAGATCAAGGTGCTCAGAGGTCAGAACCAGAAGGGACTCCAGAAGTCTCATCCAGTCCAGTCCTCAGTCAGGAAGGCTAGAGCCCAGGGGTAGGGCCTGGCCAGGCTACCAGTCCCTCAGCGAGATGCTGGACTCAAAATATGGCTCCAGCAGAGCCAGCAGCCTATCACTGACCTTACAGAAGCCCAACAGAGGTACTTGGGCCACATGCTCCACTGAAAGCAGCCCCAGAAGAAACTTCCTCTGGCAGGAGTTGGGTGTCCCCAGGTGAGGTGACCCACCCCCTCGCCCACCCCACACATGAAGAAAAGCACTCACTTGTCCAGCGTCGCAGCGAGGATATACTTGCCATTCGGAGAGAACTTCACAAAGGACACCGGGGGGTTGTCATCATCTGAACAGACACACAAAGGCAGGGCTGACAATTGAGGTGGGCCAGAGAAGCCAAGCTCACCACCCACCAGAGCCTCACACAGGTGCCCCTTCCTTCACCTGACACACGCCCCATAGTGAGAGCTGAGCTGGCCTTGCAGGGGCCTGATGGGTAGGGCATCCCATAACCTTCCCAGAGCTGATGCTTTAGGGACCAAGGGTCTGAGGCAAATTAAAGCACCACCAGGCTGTGCTGGCACCTCAGCAACACCTCAGCTCACCAGGTGCCTGACGACCAGCTACCTCACAGAAATTAAGTGCTGCAAGTACAGCTGTTCCCACTAAGGACAAGACAACATGAATCGATAATCTCAAGTGTTCTTGTTATGCAGTTATCACAGCAAGAGTAGTTAAAATTCCCTGTGGAACCAACCTTCATACCATCCTCACACTTTTGCTTCAGGTATTCTGGGTCTAAAGCTTAACCCCAGGTGATTCTGGGAATGCAGGTGAGTGCGGCCATGACAGTGAAGTGACCTAGTCACCCTCTCATACCCAGGTGAGAAGAATCAGTGCTCCAGAACCACCAGGAGCATCAGAATCCCAGCCCTCCACTCACCCTGTGCTCCTCACAATGGGCGGAGCGATGGCCTGCCAGGGTGAGGGGTCATGACCCCCCGCCTGGGTGAGGAGGGCACTCAGCGGAGCATACACCTGGTGTGGGGAACTGAGGGAGATGTGTGTGGAACCAGGCCATCCCTCCAGCCCAGAGAGCCTCTTAGAGGGTCTGCATGCCATATCCCAAGCACAGAGAGGGAGCAGCACGCATATTACCACGACTGGGAGGCCTGGCCTCGCTGCCTGGCTCCAGGGGCCTCTGCTCCCTCGGGCTGGTGGCCCCCACTGTAAAAGCATGTTAGAAGTGAGCTCACACGGTCCCTCTGGCCAGAGCTGGCACTACGAGGGCAGACGGGAAGCAGTATCGTGTTTCTACTTCAAATCAGCAAAGTATTGCTGGGACTGCATCAGCTGACTCATCTCAGTGGAGTTCAAGAGGTTCTAGCACACTCACTAGACCTGAAGGACAACCACTAACCACACGACTCTCGCCTTCCAGGCACTGACTCCTCATGGGGCTCATAGCACCCTCAGCACACCCCATCAGAACCCACTCACCCCAGGCTGGGAGACATAACAAGCAAGCAAGTGAGGACATATGGCACAAGAACACAAGTCTAACTAAAGCCCAGCCCAGCACCTGCTGCTGTGTGGCCTTCAGCAGCCATTTAACCTCTCTGTGCCTCAGTTTCCTCCCTGTAAGATGAGGACAGCCCCCACCTGCCCACCAAGGGGCTGTGAGGGTCACAGGATTAATGGAACGGTCACAGGTTTAACAGAACAGTGTTGAGCATGGTGCCCCAACCCCCGGCAAACGGGAGCACTGGCAGACTTCTCAGCACAAATGAGGATCCAGCCTCCCCAGGCAGCGGTCACGGTACAGCACTGGACAGATGATGCCGTCACCCCAGCTGACTGCTGTCACAGGAAGGGTGAGCACCACAATAGCCTGCCACCTGCTACACCTGTGGGGAAGGGAACAAAAGGCACAAGGCCCAAACCCTCCCCAAGGCAGGTGAGCAATATATAGCCTAACAGGCCACAGCCCCCCTACTACATGTTCTTCACCTGAACTCCTGTTCACCCTCCACGCCAATACACCACACAGCCTTCCAGGGCTCCCTCCCCACCACCCAGTGAGGGCTCCCAGGCCTGTAGGGCTAAGGTCCTTGCCCACCCCACCCCCAGGCAGGCCCTGACTGTCTCTCTCCACCTTCCATTCCACACTCGCCTGCAAGGCCTTCCCCCTCACTCCCCAGCATCTTTCCTCTTCTCTCTCAGGCATTTTTCATGCTGCAGGGCACAACATCCACCTCTGGGGCACCCAGCACCCGCCTGGAGGGCAGGGCCCTGTACTGCCTCCTGAGAAGGGACCTGCAGAGCAGGGCTCAGTCATGTCTGCGAGCCTGGCAGCAGAGTCCCCAAAGTTAAGGGAGGGAGGGTGAGGATCTGCCCAAAGCAGGCAGAGGGTCCCAGGGCCTCATCTCAGAGCAAGGGGCAGGCTATAATACTTGACAGCAGAGGGGAGACAAAGGCACTCACCCTCAAAGAGGCCAGAGAAGAAATCAGAGCAGACAGAATTCAGAAGGGGCCAATAGAGGTGGTCAGGTGAAAAAGAAGGTTCCTCACAAAGGGGACAGACTAGGACAGAGGATTATCTCACAAAAGATTTACCTATGAAAAATCACTGAAAAATAATAAACTTTTGGACGTCGAGTCTAACTCTCAGTGACACTATAGGACAGAGCAGAACTGCCCTATATGATCTCCAAGGGTGTCACATCTTTACAAAAGCAGACTGTCATTATCTTTCTTCCGCAGAGCTGCTGGTGGATTCAAACCACTAATCTTTTGGTTAGCAGCCAAGCACTTTAACCACTGCACCACCAGGGCTCCTTCCCTGAATGCAGCTGACACACGAAGAAGGAGACCCTCCAGAGACAAGAAACATGGGCCCTGGAGCAGACCCAGGCCACTCACCAATCAGCGTCTTCAAGCATTGGCCCGAGGCCGTGTCCCAGATTCGACTGAAACGAAAATCAAACCATTTGTAAAAAAAAATCCAGCGACCTCAGCATCTGCGTGAGTTCTACATTATTAATCAAACCCAAGGCTAAGGACTAACAGACTCTTCCCAACTTGCTTTATTTTTAATTTGACACTTCACTTATTCAACAACTGCCCCCTCGTGTTCCCAACAGAGATGAGGCACTCCGTGCACACACATAAGCACTGCACACGAAGTACACTCACATATATGTACATGTTTGTGTGGCCCTTCTAAAACCAGCTAACATTTCAGTCCCCACTGGTGAAAAAAGCAGCCAAGGCAGAGGGCACTGAGCGAGCCTCTCCCCATGCACTTAGGCCCAGAGGGGAGGGCTCAGATGTTGTGAAAACATAGCATCCTGTGCCAATTTTCAGACATCATCCAGTTCCACAGCAGCGAGCGGATCCAGAGAGCAGCACGCTGCGTGGTGGGCACCTAGACGTACCCACCGGCTTCCCTGTGGGTTTGGCTAACACTATTCTGGGAACGAGACCACTGTACATCAGTACTGACATTTCTACAGACCAGTTCAGTCATATGGAGAGGGGTCAGAGGGCACAGAAATTCTAAATCCAACTCCCACCACCCGCTTCGTGCATCCCCAACCCACGGTCAGCATCCCCTCTCATCTGCCTACTTAATGGAGTAGACACCTTCTCGGCAAGCTTTACCTTTAACTGCCACCTGCATGCACACGGGCTACGGAAGAACTGGGCCCATAAGTATAAAGCACCACACCAATGGTTTGTCACTCAGAAACATATACACACATCACCCACAAAGATACCCCATTCTCCCCCCATGAAAGGTACCAGGTGCCCTTCCATCCATCAATACATCATGCTGGGGTCCCCCTGAATGTATCACTATTAATCAGACTGGAAGTTTCCTGATGTTTATTACACTGCTACTATAATCCTGTAATTGGTCAATAAACCTACTTGGTCTCAGAATATCATTTTTTGATGCACTGCTGGATCTAGTCTGCTGGTATGTTACTAAGAACACTGACACCAAGATTCCCAAGCCACAGTGTCCTCTTGGGGTTTCTTTCTGGGACTCACAGTCAGATTTGGGTAACAAGGTAGTACACAATTCACAGAACGAACTGGGGAGGGTCCCTCCTTTTCTGTGGGCTCCAATCACTTATACAGCCTTAGAAGTTCCTGCTAATTTATTAGATTCAGGTATAAAACCACAGGACAACACTATTTTTACACCTTCAACCATTTTTCCAGAAGCCCCAGTGGCACAGGGGCTAAGCATTTGGCTGCTAATCAAAAAGTCTTCGGTTTGACCTTTCGACCACTCTGCAGACGAAAACACCTGGTCACCTGCTCCTGTAAAGATTACAGCCTGGATGGCTATGGGAAGTTCTATCACATGGGGTCGCTGAGTCAGAATCAATGGGACAGCACCCACCACCACCACCACCACCACTTTTCCAGTCTCTGATAGTGGCTGGTCCACTCAAGTTCCCACTTCTCAGGTGGGTTTCAAAAATGGGAAACCCATTCTCTAGCGGTCTAGTGTGTGGTTAGGGGAGGGGCTTTAGTCCTTCCCTGAACCTGTGGTTCCATCGCACCCTTTTTTCTCATTTCTAATCTTGTTTTTGCTTTTTCCTTAATCAAGCTTACAAATTTTTAATGACTTCATTGGACTTATCAAAGAATACACCTGATTTTAATGATCCTATTTTTCATTCAGCTTTTAACTTATTCCTTCCTCCTACTTTTTAAAGTATGCTTAGTTTTTCTTTCTCTAATTTCTTTAGGAAATGTTTAGAGCCAAGTCCACAGCTATTCTGAGATAGTTCTATGCTTAGGAAGGCGGACATCTTGTCTGATCTGCAGCAAACGCTCTCCACACAGCTGACAGCTTATCTTACCACCCTCATGCAAAGTCCCAACCTTTCTTCTGTCAAAGGCCAAAAGCAATATATAAAAAAAAAAAATCACTCAAAATGTTTTCAAGTTCTTCTTAGGTTTCCAGTTCTTATTTTTTATTTGGGGGGGGCTGCTATGTTGTTTGATGCATAAAAGTTTGATTCTCAGGTCTTCTTCATAAATGTTTTTTAAGAGCTTGTTTTACATTCAACGTTACGTGTACGTTTAGTTTTACTCTCCATTTACCATGTCCAACCCTAACCCAGTCTCCTCCCTCTATAGCCAGTCACCCTCCCCCTGTGCCCCTCATGTTTATGCAATCCTGTTTGTCCTGCATTTTGTCAATTTGAATGTTGGTCCTCTGGTGCCCTGCTGTCTTGCCCATTAAATAATGTCACTCTTAGTCCTGTTTGGTTTTCCTGGGTGGCACAAATGGTTAAGTTCTTGATAAACTATCAAGGAACCATCACGACTGAAGTGAATCCACCTAGAGACAGGCCAGGTCATATGCTTCAGAACAGTCACAGCCTTGGGAGCCCTCTGGAGCACAGTTCTACTCTGCACACCGTGGTGGCTGTCAGAGTAGAGTAAACTCGACAGCAGCTGGGGCTCGTCTGGGTTCCTAACTGGAGGGGCCCAGGAAGATTTTAGAACTACCACCCGTTCCCGTGAAGAGCTTCAGTGGGCTTTACTTGACTCCAGAAGTCCTGCATGGTGCAAATGGTTGAGCACTCAACTAGCAGCCAAAAGGTCACCAGTTCAAATCCACCCAGAGGCACTTCAGAAGGCAGGCCTGGTGATCTGCTTCTTAAAAGTCACAGCCTTGAAAACCCTATGGATCATGTGTATTCTACACATGTGGGGGGGGTCACCATCTGTCGATGGCAAAGGACAACTCTGCAGTTTAGTGTTGTGTCTTCAAGCTCCACTGAATCATTCGAATTTCTTTTCACTTTTTAACTGCTTAATATCATTTACCCATCTTTTTTTTTAAGCTTTACTCATCGTTTTATTCCAGGCATGTTTCTTGAAAACAACTCAGAGGCTTTTTTTTTTTTCATAATCAAATCTGACAGCCTTTGAATTGGTAATCATCCAATTCATCATTTATTGTAATACCTAACACATTGAATTACATCTCTTCTACACATATTGTTTTTTAAAAAAAAAACACCTCACTGCCATGGAGTCGGATCCGACCCCTCCTTAGGTTTCTGAGGCGGTATCACTACAGAAGTAGATTGCCCAACCTTCCTTCTAAGGAGTGGCTGGTGGGTTTGAACTGCCAGCCTTCTGGTTAGTAGTTAAATGCCTTCACTCATTTCCCTTTTTTTTTCCATTTTTCTGAATGTGGACACGTTTCTAGTCTGCTTTTTTCCTTGAGAAGTTTGACCAGGGTGGCAGCCAGTGCACCAGCTCCTCTCTACTGTTGTTGTTGTTATGTGCTGTCATGTCAGACCCAACTCATAGCGACTACTCCTTGGGTTTCCGAGGCAGTATCACTACTAAGTAGATTGCTCCATCTTCCTTCCCCACTAGAAGTAGATTGCCCTATCTTCCTTCCAAGGAGTGGCTGGTGGGTTTGAACCGCCAGCTTTCTGGTTAGCAGTCAAATGTCTTAGGCACTACACTACCAGACCTACTAAACATACTTAAAAAAACAAAAACCAAACTCACTGCCGTTGAGTCGGATCCGACTCACAGCGACCCCTCCTTGGGTTTCCGAGGTGGTACTTCACTACGGAAGTAGATTACCCAATCTTCTTTCCGAGGAGTGGCTGATGGATTTGAACCACCAGCCTTCTGGTTAGCAGGCAAATGCCTTAGGCACTATGCAGGCTACATGCCATTCCCTCCTCACTTTCCCTATCTTGGGGTCTTTGCTGATCCACTGTACACAAGTTCTCACTAGGACAGCTCGACCAGCCATGAAACTGCAAAGGCACTTCAGCATCTACACGGGGCTTAGCCTGCCCCACCCTCCCAGTTCCAGTCACCTGGCCCTGCTGTCCATCTGTACTGCATTATCAGAACCTCAAACTGCATCACATGTCTACACACCTGTTCCAACCCATGGACTGTATGCTATTTGAGGGTGAGGACGTGTCTCTATTTCTCTGTCTCCAAGGCAGCACCTCACTTGAGGTGGTCTTTCATACACACGTGCTCACCAAGTGACAGGAAAGCCATACCTACCACAGGCCATCGTAGCTACTGGAAACTATCAAGGACCCATCACGATTGAAGTGAACCTAAGAACAAGAATGGGAAGAAAAAAAGAAATTTATTTGAAAGCATCAATACTGATCCTCCCTGTGACTTGGTGAGCAGCCAATAAACGGACACATGCAGCGACAGAGCCACCCTCTGCTCCTGGTTCCCATGATCCCCACAGATACCACGGATACACGAACAAATTGGACAAGGTGATCTTCCTACCTGCTGTTTCCTAAGGGACAACTGAGCATAAGGACCACTCTTCAATCACTCTACTATGAAATATACCATTCACAAAAGCAAGCAAGCCAGCTGAGCTCCACTGGGCTCTCCAGTCTGCCTGGCCATTAGTCACAGGTGTGACAGCAGAGACGAGGTCAACGTGGCTTGTCATGAGTTGGTATTAAAAAAGAGATGACATCTCTTTAATAAATGGTACTGACAAAATATCCATTTGCAGAAAAACGATACAGCAGCCATATCACACACCATATACAGAAACAAACTCAAGATGGATCAAAGACCTGAACATAAAACTTAAAACCATAAAAACCATCAAAGAAAAAATATGGACAAGTTTAGGGCCCTAATTCATGGTATAAACACACTATTGAACACAACCAAAATTGCACAAACACCAGGAGACAAAATAGATGAATGGGTCCTCCCAAAAATGATATACATATGCACATCAAGATTTCATCAAAAGAGTAAAAAGAGAACCCAAAGACTAAGAAAAAAATTCTGGCGACACATTAAAGAACTAATCTCTAAAGTTTACAGAAAACTTCAACACCTTAACAATAAAAAGATAATACAATTTAAAAAAATGGGCAGGGGACACGAGCAGACATTGAGGCAGCTAACAAACACATGAAGAAATGCAATCATTAACCATTAGAGAAATGCAAATCAAAACAACAAGATATCATATCAACCCAGTACTAATAGCAAAGTTCAAAGAAAACAGAAAGCAACAAATGCTGGTGAGGGTATGGAGACTGGAACCCACATACACTGCTGGTGGTACTGTACAGTGGTATAGCCACTGTGGAAAATAGTATGGCACTTCCTTAAAAAGCTAGAAATAGAAATACCGTATGATCTAGCAATCCCACTACTTGGTATATATCCTAAAGAAATAAGAGCCATGACACAGAGATATGTGCATACCCATAGCAGCATTATACACAACAGCAAAAAATGTAAACTACCTAAGTGTCCATCAACAGAGGAATGGATCAACTGTGATACATACACACAATGCAATACTAGGCAGTGTTAAACAACTATGGATCTGCAAAACATCCCATAACTTGGATATGAACCTAGAGAACATCATGCTGAGTGAAATTAGTCAATCACAAAGCGACAGATATCGTATAAGACCACTACCGCAAAAAGAAAAGGGTTTCACACAAAAAGACATACAATCTTTGATGGTTACCAGGGTGGGTGGGGACAGGAGGGCAAACCACTAACTACAGAGTGGACACATGTTAATTTGCATGAAGAGGAAGGCCCCCCAAAAAAACCACCAATTATGAGCTCATTTAAGACAAAAATTGAGAGATGCTTCCATTTTACAAAACTATGGGCTTCACAACAGCTTTGGGATCAGCCTAAAGGAAAAAAAGAAAACAGAAAGCACCATTCTTCGCTACTGAGCACAAGGAAGGAAGCCCAGTGCCTTCTTGCTCATCTCGTCTCACTTGTTCAAAGCCACCAAGTGCCCATCCCAGGTAGGTTTCTAAGGGGGAACAGAGTGGGAGGCAGGACACTCCACCCCTCATCTCTCAGAAGAGGGAAAATTTCCAACTTGTTGCAGACACCAAGCAGCTTACCTGTAATATTTCCAAACCCTCTCCCTGACCCCCTAGCACCATCCCCTACCGATACAGGGCCAGAGACACTTCCTCAGAGAACTGCAACCTGACAAGAGTTTCACGCTTGTGACCTGATTTATTTATTCTTTTCCCTTTTGATTTTTTTTCTAATGGAATCTTAGTGGGAATAAAAAGAACACCATGTCAAGGGTTGGAGTATATATATTTCTGTCAGTGTGAATCCTGGGCATGGTACCCAACATAAGCCTTTTTACAAACAGGTGACACCTTTCTGAAATGCTCCATCTTGCTCCATGCTCTGTGATATTTCCTACGTAACATCAAGCCCCACAGTGAAAGCCCAGTTGAATTACTCAGGAGGGCATGAGGCCACGTTTGCCTCTACAGTCTGGAGCTGAGGAGTCCTCAGCCCTCGGGATGTGGAGGACTAGATGTGGCTCTGCTGTGGATGGCTGTTCTGTTAAGCTGTACCAATGGCCTCTCTACTCACCAGATGCCAAAAGCAGTCCCCTGACCCCCCAGTGTGACTACAGGCACTGTCAAACCCACATAAACCTGAAGGGCCTTTAAGATTGTTAGGCTCTGACCCACATTTCTGGTATAGCAGTCTGGGTGGCACCCAGGATGTATTTTCAACAGGTCCCTAGGTGATGCCAAGGCTGCCAGTTGAGACCACATGTCTAGGTGTCCCAGATCACCACATGCCACGTGTGGAGAATGCCCATTTGGATATCCCAAGGCACCACACCATGTGTGGAATCAATTTAATGGATTTTACTTCAGCCAATATATTTAACATCTATCATTACATAAAATAAAACTCAAAATTATTAAAAAAAAACAGGCTTACTGGTCTGACAGAGCCTGGTGAAACCACCAAGATTGTGGCTTCTAATTACCCTTCAGGCCTGGAATTGAACTCACTCTTGTGGCTTTCAGTCAAACGACAGGTATTTAGGGTGAATATTTATACCAAGTAGATATACTCCTTAAGGAGCTCTGGTAGTACAGTGCCTGAGGCATCTGACTACTAACCAGAAGGCTGGTGGTTCAAACCCACCAGCTACTCTGTGAAAGGAAGATGGGGCAATATAAATCCATAAAAATTTACCACCTTGGAAACCCAACGGGAGTCAGTGAGTCGGAATCAACTCGATAGCAGTGGGTTTGATTTAGATACACTCCTTATAACAATCAATCATGGGAAAACAGGGCAGTATTTGCACAGGGAGATAGCTCAGGGGGCAGGAATACATAGGCAAGGATACAGGGAAGAGGTATTTACAGCGAAGAAGTGGGAAGAGAGCTGTTACATCGTGGGGACTGAAGTCAATGTCATGAAACAAAATGTGTGGAACTGCTATATGGAAAATGAATTTGCTGTGTAAACTTTCACCCAAATCACAGTCAAAATTAAAAAAAAAAAAACCAACTATCATTACAGCGTGTAGTAAATATCAAACCCACCTGTACGCTGCCCCCACTCTTTCTGCAGCTCTCAGACTGGGAAACCACTGAGCATAAGGCACTCAAAGCAGATCTCAGCTCGGAGCTGCCATGTCAAGTGTTCTGTTGTCATGTGTGGCCAGTGGTCCCCAGGCTGGACAGCAAGTGGGTCCCTAATGACCCTCTCAGCAGACACTCCAGAAGCTCTGTAAACAGTCAACCTCCACCACCAGCTATGCTGGTAGGAGGCAAATGCCACACCAGCCTCTCAAGTGCAATCATAGATCCGTTCACTCTCCTCTCAAAGGACTTTTCTTTCTAACTCACAGCAATCGATCTAGCCACGTTCATCCCTTTGAGTTTGTAAAACAGATTTGTCAAGGCTGCTACGCTAGATGGTAGCTGTCATAAGTCCCAAAAACGTCCATGTCCAACCTCACGATTTAACCTCCTAACCACGTCTACAAAGCACTACTGGCAACTATGGCACAGCTCATCTACACACCAACACCACCAACTGTGGCACAGCTTCTCCAGACAGCCAGGGAGGCTCAGCCATGCGAGAGGCACAGCAGCCATGTATCAAGAAGACAACGGTGAAGGAAGTGTCACCGAGAAATAAGTCATGGGGGAGACCAGGCCCCAACAAAGCAGAACAGGCAAGGAGAGCTCTCTGAGGAAGTGACAGAGCCCCAGGGAGGAAAGAAGCGAGACAGGGTCAGCCTGACAGACAGAGCAGCAATTACCTGAGGAGAGAAGAGCTGGCTGAACATAGAGAAAACACTGACCAATCAGCTGAGCAAGGGAGCCTGGTGCAGAAGTATACAGAGCAGAGTGACAAAAAAATGCAGGGGAGCCCAGGCAGGAGCCAGCAGCAGCCTGCACTACTAAGGGGAGGCAGGCACAGAGAGGGGAGCGTGTTGAGCAACATCTTCCCACCAGTTTGTCTAGCTCTAAAATCTATTCATCAAAAAACTATGTGTGTGTGCTCTAAGCAGCACTTCTGCTTCTTAGTGTTTCTCCTGCAGGAACTAGCCACAGAGTCTAGATGCTCAGTCCAGGGTGCTCCCGGCATGACTGTGCAGATGCAAACACTACACACACACATCCACCAATGGTGGTCAATCACCACAAACAAGCCAGACTGTGGACCCATCACAGCAGTCAAAGGGCAGCACGTGGAGCTGCAGGCACTGGTACAGAAAGATGGCCAAGAAACCAGGAAAAGCTGTAGGATAAAAGCTGTGGCCCAGTCACTGCTGCTATTGTCTTGTGCCCTCAAGTCCACTGACTCATGGTACCCCCATATGCTACAAAGCAGAACTGCTCCATAAGGTTTTCTTGGCTGAAATCTTAATGGGTGATCATCAAGGCTTTCTTCTGCAGTACCAACGAGTGGACTTGAACCACCAACCTTTAGGTTAGCAGACAAGTGTTACCATTTGTGCCACCCAGGACCCTTATGATATAGTACCATAGTTACTTAAAGAAAGAAAAGGAGTGAGGTAAGTTGACCAGTATGTGTTTAAAAACAACAAAACCCCTAAGGGAAGATTGTGCTAGTAGCAGTTAACCTGCGGTGTTGCCCTTCCCCCCTTTAATGAGCACACATTACTTTTGTAAGAAACTTTAAAAGCCCTGCCTATTCAGAGGGAGCTCTAGAAGCACAGTGGTTAAGGCTCAGCTGCTAACCAAGATTGGTGGCTCAATCCCACCAGCTGCTCCATGAGAAAAAGACGTAGGAGTCTGCTTCTGTAAAGATGATAGCCTTAGAAACCATAGGGGGCAGTTCTACTCTGTCCTCTAAGGTCAACACAAGTCCGATTCAACTCAACGGCATTGGATTGTTGTGGTTTTTTTTTTTTTTTTTTTAAGTTCAGAGAGTCCCCTTGCAGTTGGTCCTGACCTCTGTGACATGCATCACTCCTCTTTCTTTCAGACTCAAATCTCTGGTTACTTCCTGCAGGTTCACAGTTCTACTCTGGCTGACCCCACAGGCACTCAGGAGGCAGGACTGACTTCACAGGGCTCTGCGGGAGCACCCCCTCCAAAGACCAGGAATAAAGGCACCTAGACCGGGGGGGTGGGGGTTCACAACCCAGGACTCCCCAAGACCCCACTCCCACCAAGACACCACACAAGGTCTCAGCTGGGAAAAACACAGGCCTGAGATACATCCACCTGCTTGACTTTAGAAAGTGGCAAGGATACCCACTGGGGGACAAGGAGCAAACCCACTTCCTCAGCTTCCCTCTCCATCACAGAAGTAAGCAGACTCTGTGAAGAATAGACCCTTGTGGTCATTTTTCCCAATGGAGCAGTTTGTGATCCATGTGGTTGGTGTCCCCAACACCCTTGGAACTCTGTGCCCCCTTAACCCCTGCACCTACCACCCAACCAACCCTTCTAGTGCCCCTCACAATTTGTGTTTCCACACACATGGCTCGCTCTTTCACAGCAGCTTTCAGTCTCCAGGGGATGCCTTCCCCCGAAAGTCCACCTACAGCCTGCACCCCAGTGCACAGAAGGCCCTCCGTGCTCACTGCAGGCACTACAAGATTGCTCACCACCCATCCTTCCACTGGGCCAGAACAGAGCTCTCTCTTGGTGTCCTCAATGGCCCACACAGTCACATATGCATGCCCTCAGCTGGACACGAGCCACATCCCCAGCAAGAAGAGGGACTTACAGCTGAGACCGGGTCCGAGTGAGCAGGCAAAGTCTTGAGGCACTTCCCTGTTTTCACATCCCATATCCTCACGCTCTCGTCAAACTGAAGACAAAAAAAAGAGCAGGTTGAAATGATTTTAAAGGGAGGCAAGGAGATGAGAGATTCCTGGCTCCCAAGACCTGCCACATGCCACAGTCCCATGTCCCCAGGAACAAAAATAGTCTGAAGCCCACCACCCATCGCCACGTTGTCAACTGATGTGTGATGGACGATCATTCACACCCTGAAGAAGAGCACAGGTCCTCTACCCTCCCACAGACAAGAAATGAAGTGTGCTTACAGATCCTGAGACGATGAGGTTGGACTGGGGATTGAAGTTGCAGCAAAAGACATAGTTGCTGTGGCCCTTCAGGGTTTTCAGACACTTCCCCTAAAACAGCATTGTCAGACTAAGTCATTCCCCAAGGGTTGCTTCCCAGATCCATCAGGCTAAATCAACCCAAGACTCCCACCAACCTGCACCCTCAGACAACAAGCGAGAGCTTCCAGGAAACTGCTGTCCCCAAATTTAATTACCTCCCGCCCACTGTGCCCCCTTCCCCAACCACCATATGCCCACTGGACAGGGAAACACAAGGTGCTATTTACCGAGCTCACATCCCAGATCTTCAAGGTTTTATCATCAGAGGCAGAGACAAGGAGATTGGAGTCTGAGGACCAGGCCACATCTGAAATCCCCTGGGGAGAAAGCTGGGGTTAGCAGTTTGATGTGACGAAATGCGACAAAGGTCAGAATCCCACACATCCATCTAAGGATACATAGGTACCCCACTCTCAGGAAAATTCTCTGGCAAACATCAAACACCCACCACAAGGGACACCATGGGGTCCTAATCCAGCAAAAACACCTTGTGGGGTCAAAGTACTTGTAGGAAAAAAACAAGAGGCAAAGCACTACAAAAAAGCCCATCTTAACCTCACAAGGCCCTGCCAAGCCCCCGACCTCTGGAGCTCCCTGTTCCACAGCCACCTTCCTACTACCCTGCTCTAACTGGGAAGACACCTACCAGTTTGTGACCAGATATGGTTTTCTCAAATTTTCCATCATAAGCGCCCCAAATTTTAATGAGTTTATCAGCAGCTGAAAGGAGGGAATGAAAAGGAGCTGAGGTGCAGGGCAGTCACACACCATCCAGGAACCCAGCTGGTAGACTGGAGTCTGGATTCCTGCCCCAATGACAAACACAAATTGCCCAGAGCCCAGCAGCATAGGGCACTGCTACATCGGGAAGGCTGAGGAGTTTGACTGGGCCCCATCTACGGTTCCGCCCTCCCCCTCCCGTACCACTTCAGGAGCAGCAGCCAGCAGTGGCGCCTTCAGTTACAGTGAGGGACACGCAGCTCCCTGCAAGCGACTAGCATCAGGGTTAAGAAGGAAACCCACCCAAGTGTCCCCTGACTCTGGTCAAAAGCTCAGCCCACTCCTCCCAGCAGCTGGCAGGAGCAGGGGTACTCACAGGAACTGGCCAGCCACTCTCCATTTGGGCTGAACTTCACAGAGGACACAGCTTTGGTGTGGCCAGCCAAGGTGAACTTGAGAGCATAGTTTGGTTTAACAGGTGTAGGCTGTTGGAGAGATGGTGCAACATCTAAGTTTGCAAAATGCAACCACCACTGTCCACTCAAGTGCTTACCAGCTTGGATGTAATTTCCAAAGCTTCAGTTTAAACACAGACCCATCTCCAAATCCGTATTCCACAGGCCCCTGGAAATTGCTACCTGGATGTCACCTCTCAACTTGAACATGTCTAATTCTGGGCTCACTGCTGTTGCTGGGTGCCATCAAGTCGATTCCAAATCAGTGACTCTGTAGGACAGTGCTTACCAGCTTGGATGTAATTTCCAAAGCTTCAGTTTAAACACAGACCCATCTCCAAATCCGTATTCCACAGGCCCCTGGAAATTGCTACCTGGATGTCACCTCTCAACTTGAACATGTCTAATTCTGGGCTCACTGCTGTTGCTGGGTGCCATCAAGTCGATTCCAAATCAGTGACTCTGTAGGACAGAGTAGAACTGCTCCATAGGATTTCCAAGGAGCTCTGGTAGCATAGTGGCTAAAGCACTTGACTGCTAACCAGAAGGCTGGCGGTTCAAACCCACCAGCCACTCCTCGGAAGGAAGGTTGGGCAATCCTACTTTCGTAGTGATACTGCCTCGGAAACCCAAGGAGGGGTCGCTATGAGTCGGGGCCGACTCGACGGCACACAACAACAACAACAACAACATAGGATTTCCAAGGCTGTAATCTTTACGGAAACAAACTGCCTCATCTTTCTCCTGTGGCCACTGATGGGTTCCCATTGGTAACCTTTTGGTTAGCTAGCTGAATGCTTAACCACTGAGCAACCAGGGCTCTTTTCTGAGCTAATTCAAACCCAAAACCAAACCATTGCCAATGAATCAATTCTAACACTTAGGAACCCTATAGGACAGAGAAGAATTGCCCATAGGGTTTCCAAGCCTATAATCATTATGGAAATAGACTGCCACATTAGTCAGAGCAGCTGGTGAGTTCAAACCACTGATCTTTCCATTAGCAGCCAAGCACTTCAGCACTGTGCCACTAACCTCTGTACACAAACCTGTTTCTCCTGAATTCCTCATCTGTCTTCTGATGATCCATCATCTGAGCCAGAAAGGTCTAAGGCCACCTCAAGGCACAGCCTCAGCCCACATCCTATTACTCACATCACTGGGACATTGCTCTATCACAGGAATTCTACCAGCTCTGGCCTGGCTTTGGCATCTCTTCCTATCCTGTCCCAAGTCCAGCCTCCCCACAGCAAATATGAACTCTTGCTACCCATGTGAAAGACCTGCTTGCTTCCTGTTATCTACAGGAGGGGCCCACAAGCCTGGCTGGGCATCAGGATTATCGGGCCAGGGTAGAGGGAACTAATTGTAAAGAGACGTCTCCTGGGCCCCATTCTCAGTCTTACATTCAAGATCAACAAGAGTCCATACGTTACTGATCAACCTCCCTCTCCAGGTGACATGTTTGGAAACCCTTGACATGACATATGATAAGTATCCGTTAGCCATGTACTCAACGAGTAAAACTGGTAGCTCTGTTAGCAGAGTAGGGAGGACAAATTTAAGGGTTTAAAATAATATTCCAAGACTTTTTAAGCCTATTTTCCCATGGAAGTCCCCAAGAAGTACGCTGCACATACCTTGCTCTGAGTGGCCGATGATGAAGGAGTTGGCTGTGCCCTGGCAGTCTCAGTCTCCGGCTTCTTCTCCTCAGTCGCCATGGTTCTACAACTCACCAGGCAAGGACACAGGAGGGCAGAGCTCCAGGCAGAAGGGTCACAACGGACAGACGCGTCTGCTTACTGAAACCTATCGTAGGGGGACCCAGGCCAACAAACAAAGCAGTTTAAAAACAACAGAAAAACAATCAAAAAGAAAAATGCCTGCCTGCCATACTGAGCCTGTTTCAAGCTGGGGAACCTAACTAGTAAGCTAAATCCATGCTAACGCTTTTCAGATGCTATGCCAAGACAGCCCTGCGCTCACCCTTTTGGAATCAAAGACCCCATACTTCCAGGGGCTTCCTATTTTGTCACCCAGACAGTCACCAGAAATGCAGCTTGGTCCACATAAAACATGATTTTCTTTAAAGAGCCCTTGATAAACAAAAAAAAGACCCAAGGTTACTGAACAAAAACCTACCATGCCAAAGGACAGGTGATTCAGCATCAGGGTGTCGAAGTGTGGGAGCTCATCCAAAACCTAAAACGCATCCCAAGTGATGCAGTGACATTAGCAGCCACATGGGGACACATGAGCAGGCACCCAGGGGTCCCACAGCTCTGCAGGCTCAATGCACAGGCTGCAGTGTGAGGCTGCCTCAGGATTGCTAACAGATGAGGTAACAACAGCACACAGCTGAAAAGAGCAAACCAGGGCCGGCCTTGCCTGCTGTAAGCCACCTAATTCAACACTGATCCCTGAGAGAGAGACTCACTGTAGAGGAAAGAGACCAAAGCTCAGTTAGGTTCTGCTTGACAATGGGAAATACCCAAAATCCGTGCAGTAAGCGCTTTGCTCCTCTGTCACAGGGGCAGATTTCATTACTGGATAAAACCAAAGCCAAACTCACTGCCGTTGAGTTGATTCTGATTCATGGTGACCCTACAGGGCAGAGAACTGCCCCACAGGGTTTCCAAGGCTGTCATCTTTACAAAAGCCACCTCTTTCTCCTGAAGTGGCTGGTAGGTATGAACCACTGACCTTTCAGTTTACAGCTGAGCACTGAACCACTGCACCACTAGGATACCTCCAATACTGGAAAACTGTTATAAAAACTCACTTGGTTATGTGGAAATGAGGGGAAGTGCTATTAAAACAGAGAGCCAACAGCCCATTCTTGCACATGTCACTGGCCATCCACATCCCTAAGCTGGCACCAACACTCATCTAATGAGCTCACATGCTCTAAATTCTGGCTTGGAGCTTAAAAACACAAACTTGCCCAGGTCCCTGGGAACACTAAGGCAAAATAGAAACCATCAAAAAGGTCTCAAAGTCTTCATCCATGAGAGAGAGAATGGACCCAGCAACACCCCGTGCGGAGCTCAATTTGCTGAGAAGCCGGTCTCCATGCATCAAGCCCCATCACAGCACAGGGCTGAGAGTAGTCAGTGCCCTGCCCCCAAGTAAATCAGTGGGAACAGAGGATGCAGAGGGCTGGTCTTCAGCCTCCACAAAAGGGTGGCTCAGGGGCCAGAGAGTTCCTATTAGCATAAAGAGTAAAAAGACCCACCTGGAGGCAGTGTTTAACTCCAGCAAACTGGCTGCCCACAGGTGGGGGGCAAGCACAGGCTAAAGTTGGGGGTCTGAACCCCACCCAGCTCAAGCCTAACCCTCAACAATCATCATACAAATAAAGCAAGTGGAGAGGTGGGCTCTTAAGAATATAGATTTCTTGACCAAACACCCAAAGACTCTGTTTCACTGGGTAGGGGGCACAGGACTGCATTTTTCACAAACACTGAGGCGAATCTACAAGGCATGTTTTGAGAAATGGCCATTTTGAGGGAACAGGAAGCTGGTCAAAGGCCAGATCTCTAAGACAAGGTTCAAGAAGGTGAACCTAAGGCGATGTGAATGTGGCCTTCAGCGCTCCCTGCCCTTTCTTGGCACCTTTTGTCCCAATGAGCCTAACATCTAAGGCAGAACCCCACACCTGAGTGCTCGCTGGACTCTGGTAAAACACAAATTCCTGGGCTCCATCCCAGAAACAGGAAGGCAAGCCTGCCTTCCTATATCTATTCAGGTGCCCAGATGATACCAGGCAACACAGCGCTCTTCTACCTGGCCTCTCTTGGGCACATTTCCGCTCCCTGCTTTCCTTAGAGGGCAACCTCAGGGACAAGATTCAGTGTAGTGCCCCACCAAACTCCAAGTTTTAAGACATTTGCTGAAGAGAAAGCTGGTAAGGAGTCTTTTAAACCCCTCCCCCAAATGGCTTTCGCAGACTAGACTAGAAGTGGTCTGAGGCACCTAAACGGGAAGGTGGGTGGCTTCTCCCTTCATGAGGGCAGACTCACACCCCAATGACCTCAACCTAGGACCCTGGGCTCTTAAAGGATATGGGGCCTGGCAGCCTAGGGCTCAGGGGTAATGAGGAGGAGAGCAGGCACATCTACAGTCACCGTCTGCATGAACCACATCCAGGACAGGTTTGCCTGGGGTCTATCTGAAGAAATGGAGGAAAAGGGGACGATGTGCACGCTGGCTGGGGAGTGTGGAGGGGTGAGGGGGCGTCCCAAACCCTGAGGCTTTAATCTTGTCATGTGACCGCTGAGGAAAGAGAAGAAGTTCGGGAACACTAGGACGTGACTGCAGGAGGTACCAGGCAATCAATGGGAGTTTGGGAGGATACTCTGAGGAAAGAAGGTAGGACCTTCGGGGGGGCTGGGTTGGGGGAAGGGTCACCAGCTGCCGGGCGGGGAAACTGAGCCAGAAGAAAGGTGAAGAAGGGGACACTAAACGGGTACAATGTGGGAGCGAAAAGCGGCCCTCACCAAAGGCGCCTGCACGGGGAGGGCCCGTACCCTCAGGAGGCGGTTTGGGGCCCGCGGGAAAGAGCTGCAGTAGGGGCCGAGGCTCAGGGCGCCGGCCCGGCGGGGAACACGTGCGGCGGCTGGGAGCTGTTTGAGGGGGCAGCCGGGTCCCGCCCAGTCACCTCGCTGCGGCCCGAGGCCCGAAGGCCGCCGCTTACCTCCAAGTCGCAACGGCGGGGCCAGGCGTCGCGTCGGCCGCCGCCTGGGCGGGAGCGCGGGCCGAGCTCGACGAGGCTGCAGGTCCGGCGGGCGCCAGGCAGCGTGAGGGGGGGCGCTGCCAGTACGCGTGCGCGAGGGGAGGGGGCGGTGTCCCGGGGGTGGAGCCAAGACACAAAGCCGGCCTCTTGGAGGAGCGCTACAGGGAGCGACAAGGGGCAGAATGCCTCGGCCAGCCCAACGCCTTAAAGGGACCGCAGGCTGTGCGCGCTTCCTTCTCCAAAGCGTCTAAGTGCAGGAGTTGGTTGGTGCGGGCCCACCTTCTCCCGCACTTTTTAAAATTGAAGTATAATATATACACAGGGAAGTACTAGTGAATTTTGTAAGCAACCCTGTAGCCGACACCCACATCCTGGGACAGAATGTTCCCCGGGGATTCTGAGGAGTGGGCGTTGCCCAACGTTTCTTCTCCGAATCATGCCCGGGTCCAGTGATCAATTCTTTATTGACGTTAATACTGATGATCGCAGCAGTTGACTGTCTGAGAGCATCTGCGGCCAGCCCGCGAATCAGGTAGCACCTCAATCCCCACACATCTCAGGTGGATAGGTACTGATACCCACCGTTTACAAGATCAGGGACTCAGTCCCCGCGCAAAGTGCTGAGAGTCCCTCCAGAGCCAACTCTTTCCCACAGCCACCACACCGTCTTTCCGTCCAGCCTTGTGTAATCAGTATAAAGAAATCAAAAACCAAACTCACTGCCATCGAGTCAATTCCGACTCCCCTATTGGGTTTCAGAGGCAGTAAATCTTTAGGGAAGTAGATTGCCCAGTCTTCCAGGAGTGGCTGGTGGTTTGAACCACCAACCTTCTGGTTAGCAGTCAAATGCCTTAGGTACTAGGCCACCAGAGCTCCTATGTATAGCCAATCCTAAAAATTATCCAGTATAGCCAATCCTAAAAATTATTGGATGCAAACTAGTTTTGCAGCCCTTCTCTCATGTTGGCCTCCAGGCAGGTGTGCTCCACCTCCATCACAGATGGCCTGGTGAGGCCCAGAGAGGAGGATTGAAGGGCAGGAGCAGAACCTGGGACCCCACTTCTGCAAACTACATGGGTTTTAAACTTTTGGAGGTGGCCCCCACAGCTCCACCACCCCAGCCCAGGCCTGTGGGTAGAATGACAGTCTCTTATTTTCCAATTAATATGACACAGGTACCTCAGCAAACAAAGGGCTCATGCGTTAGAAGTGGAAACACCCTGGGAACGTGACGTGTGTGGTTGTCATAGATACGAGAACTGAAGCGTGGCAGCTGATCTGGAGCCTCCTCCTGGGGAGGGCACAGGGAGGTAAGCCCATGGCTCACGTGGATCTGCGTCCACCAGGCCCAGTCACCTGTGGCCCAGGTGCCCTAGAGCGGGAGGCGGGCATCCTCCAATGTTTAACAAAACCAGCTCAGGTGTGAAGATGGGCATCTCCCACCCACCTGGCAGCCTGGCTGATGGACACCTGAGCCCACCCCGGATTGCCCACACCTCTCAGATAGCCCTTAGATCTACCCACTCCTCTCCATGCACATCCTGTTACCACAATAAGACTGCACGCTGCCCTCCAACCTCCAAGCTCTGCCCAGCACACCAGAGGAGCTTCAAAAGCTCCAGCTCTGGTCTGTCTCTCCCCAGTTTAACGTTCAGAAATGGCTTCCCAAGGCCCTCAGGTCAAAAGCCAAACTGTTGACAGGATTTACCAGACCCTTCCTCCCCCTCCAGCCTAGCGCCACCCCCAACTGTGAACCCCAGATTGCAGCCCCAGACACAAATTACTTCCAGTCTGGTAGCATAGTGGCTAAAGCACTTGACTGCTAACCAGAAGGCTGGTGGTTCAAACCCACCAGCCACTCCTCGGAAGGAAGGTTGGGCAATCCTACTTCCGTAGTGATATTGCCACGGAAACCCAAGGAGGGGTCGCTATGAGTCGGGGCCGACTCGACGGCATATAACAACAACAGCCAACCCTCCTAGCAAA